GATTTTAATTTGGTCTTCACATAATTTATTTATTTTATTTATTTATTAATTTATTCGTCGTCAATCAAATGTAGACCAGTTTAATTTACAAAAGCACTTAACATCTATTTTAATTTTCAATCTCTGACTAACCTCGAAAAGAAACGTTTTTTAAGAGCATTTTTGTTCATTGTCAAATCAATTGTTTCATAATGTTTATTATAACAAGACAGCATTCTATTTAAAGACGCGTACCTGGCGTAGTTTGTTCTTTGGTTGTGAATATAAATAAAACATATTTCTGTCTCTTAAGGAACGAGTGGGAGCATAAAAATTTAGATTTGTGCTACAACATCGTTTATAAAAGCTATCATTGCAAACTGCCTTCGCTTTTCAAGGGCATCCAAATTGATCAACATACATCGAGACTCATAAGGTGGTAAGGGTAAACTCGTCCAGCCTAACTTTCTTAGAGCAAATAATAGAAACTGTTTTTAAACTGATACAATGCGGTTTATATGAGTATCTTGATATGGAGCCCAGACTATACTACAGTACTCAAGGAGGGGCCTAACATATGCAACATATAATGTTTTGATTGTGTATGGATCATTGAAATGAAAGGTAAACCTTTTAATAAACCCTAGCATGTTGCTTGCCTTGTAGATAATGTTATTATAATGTTCAACAAAGCTTAATTTTGAATCTAGTAAAACACCTAAATCTCTAACTTGATTGCACCTTTCAACTCTGTTTTGTCCTATTGTTACATGTTCTTGTCTAATAATTTTCTTTCTTGTAAATTAAATGGAATTACATTTCTTCACATTAAGCTTTAATAAACTTTTTGAGTACCAAGTGTGTCAATTTCTTGTTGAAATACTACAAGATCAGACGTTTGACGAATTTCCAGGAAAAGTTTCATGTCGTCTGCATATATTGATACATTCAGAATATTCAATATGTGCTCTACATCATTAACGAATAGAATAAACAGTAATGGTCCAAGATGGGAACCTTGTGGCACACCAGATGTTACATTGACTACTGACGACAAATCTTCTTCAAATCTAACTCTTTGTGTCCTACCGGTCAAGTATGACTGAATCAACTTTAATAAATGTGGACTAAAACTTAACTTAGATAATTTGAATAACAAAAGAGGGATATCAACTCTATCAAACGCTTTACTGAAGTCAGTATATTGTGCCTCAACATAATGTCCCTTATCCATTGCGTTAATAGAAAATGTTACAAAATTCAACAGATTAGTAGTCGTTGAACGTCCTTTAACAAAACCATGCTGTTTGCCTATAATTAAATGTTTAACTTGTGCAAAAACACTTTGATTTATTATAGATTCAAAGAGTTTAGGAATGCAGGATAATATAGCAACTCCACGGTAATTTTTTGCGTCTGATTCTTTTGAAAATTGGAATCAAATATGATTCCTTCAAATTGAAACCCGGAACAGAAAACCGGATTCGAGAGAAGGGTTGAACAGCCAGAACAATGGCTTTACTATCCCCTGCGATACTGATTTCAAGAATACTGGTGGCAATCCATCTGGGCCTGCACCCTTTGATGCATCCAATGTATTTAGAGAATGTAAAATTTCGTTGAGGGTAACATTATTAACTACAATAGGTATCTCTCATTGGCTCAGGAAGGTATGAGAAATACTGGTAATCCCGGTCTTGGTCATCATGACTTGTGTAAATATCCTGAAAAAACTCAGCAAATAAGTTACTGATCTCGCTAGTCGTTTTTCCTGTTTTGTTGTCCAAGTAAATTTTCGAAGGATAATTATTTGACTTCTTTTTGTCTCTTACAAAGTTAAAAAATAATTTTGGGTCTGATTTAATGTTGTCTTCAACCTGAGTGTTATACCGTTCGTATGCGTTTTTTATTTCACAGTTCAAATGATCGCATATGTTCAAATAAATTGAGAGGTTACTATTATTTTGTTCTTTTTTATAGACTTTATGAGCCTTTTGTTTTCTATTTTTAAGATTATTTATTTGCCTATTGTACCATGCTGGAGTTTTAGATTTCTTTGATTTTTTCCTTAGCTTTTTCGGTACTGTCGTCTCTAATATAGCGTATACAATTTTATAGAACATATCTACAGCCTGCTCTGGGCTCGAATTTCTAATGAAACTTTGCCAGTCAATAGAATTTAAAATGTTTTTGATAAGCTCATAGTTTGCATGTCTAAAGTCAAAATAGGTTTCCTACAAATTGCCATCCAACATTGTGGATATCGTGTATAAATACGGAGAATTCGATTGCAGTATGAAATATTTCATTTTTCCATAGAGGTGCAGGAGCCTCAATCACGCAGAAATCATCGGTCATATTCCTAAATAATAAATCTAAATAACAATTGTTATGATTTCTGACATGATTGACTTGATAAAGTCCAATTAAAAAAAATTTTGGGCAAGATTTAATTTCAAATTCATTTTTTAAATTACACTCCTCAAATGCGATATTTATAGCCAAATTAAGTTGATCGCAAATTTTCAAATAGTTTTCCATATTTTCGTGACTATTTTGTTTCTTGAAAACTTTATGTGCTTTTTGCTTACGATTTTCAAGTTTTTTTTTATTAACCTGTTAAACCAAACTGGATGTTTAGAAAGAACTTGACGTCTTTGTCTTTTACCGTTACTTCTTAGCGTATTATTTTAAATAATGTATTGTAGAATAAATCAGTTGCACTCTTGACATTTCCTTTATTCCTCAACACTGTTTATAATGTTTAGATTATTCCTGATTTTATCATCATTCGCTGATTGATAATCAAATATTTCTTCAAATTCATAGTCAACGGGCATTTCATAATCATGTATGAACAGAGAATATTCGATTGCTGTTTAACGTCGATCTCTTTTCCGCAATCGAGTGCAAATCACCGACATTAGTTAATGGCAATCAAATGCCAGTGAGGCGGCTTCCCCACCTGGTAGATATCGTACCCATCAACACATGGACTGGGACCAACAACTTCACTTACCTTCAACTCATGACTAGAGATTTTTTCACCTAAGAAAAATCCCAACAACCTCGGCTGAGATTCAATCCAGACACACTGGTGCCAGAAAGCAGTCAAGCTCACCATTACACCACCGGTGCCGTCATCACCAAAGACCTATTTAAATCTAACCCTCTTAATTACTCATCCCCTAGGTAATCATGTAAAGATAAGATATAAAAATGAAAATAAAACGTACAGAACCGAAATCCACCTAACTAATAACCCATTATGCAAAGTTGGGAGGAAATGCTATACTAATATCAACATGAAGCTGTACTGCGATAATTTATTACCTAGAAAAAGTTCTGAAGAGGATAGATTGATAGTTCCGCTAGAATACGACTGTAAAACTTGAACAGAATCTGAAATTTTGACGAAGCATTAAAGCAACAATACTAATCAAATGCGCACTCCTTTACCTAACTCATACTTTGATGGATGAGGGGATTTGAGGTATGTGTGTGTGTGTGTACAATCTAACCCCCACTGTCCGGCAGTGTTATTATGGAAGAAAACTGCTTTTTATTACCCTTAAATTAAAGCAGGTTTAGTCCGGGAGTTAGAAGGTGTTAGCTCTATTGCAGCTCCAGTGACCCATTTCAGAATGCCTGGTAATTCACGACCACTCCGAGGTCACTTTTACTTACAATAAGCCCCGCATGTTCACTCTACCTTTATCAAATGGATAATGGTATCATAAACACACTTCCAGATTCAAAAATATTATTTCCAAATCTGGCACGTAGGGGAAAAGTTGGCTTCGGCAATACCTTGACCTATTACCGTCAGGGGGGTAAACAACGTCCTTGAGAGCTCAATTTTGGCATGTGGATACATTGTGTTTCAGGGCAACTATTGGCCAAATTTGAGTGCTCTAGGACTTTGTTTACCCCCTGACGATAATAGGTTAAGGTATTGCCGAAGCTAACATTTCCCCTATATAGTTTTGAAATTTGCTCAACTGTATTAAATCGATTTGAATGGACATTTCTTACCAATTTTGTTTCGAATACCTCTTGATTCATCTGCTGGCAGCACTTACTGGCCCTTACCGGCGACCAACCCTTACTCAAATGCTTCAACTTCCCGGATGGCGGCCCGCTTGATTCACATGGATGAGGGGATTTGAGGTATGTCCTCAAATCTACAGGCAAAAGAGTGCACGTTCCATCAAAATATGAGTAAGGCAGAGAGAGAGCGCATTTGATTAGTATTGTCGCATTAATGGCCCTTCGCTTTCCACACTGCCGTACTCTAGTTGAACTTACTATCTATTTCTATCTATAGCTAATACAATATAGCACTAAAGCTTCATGTTGATATTAGTATAGCATTTTCTCCCAACTCTGAAAATCGTAAGTTTCACGTATGAAGTAACAAAACACTTTGATTGAACCCAACATTCAAGTAAAGAAGGAATATTTAAACAACTATGTAATAAGGAAAAATCCCCAACACCGAAAATAGTTTTCATGTAGCTTCCATTGGAATTGCAAATGATTTTCATCCATAAACAAAATTAATGGAATTTATCTGAATTTCACATAACATTTATGCGATCACTTTAATTTTATATGATTTTTCATATGAATTTCATCGACCTCATAATATTCATGTGATTTTGTGGTGAGATGTGTAGCTATGTGATCACATGAAAGCTATGTGAAATTCACATGGTTTTCATCCATTAGATATGTGATAAATTGTTTGAGTGAAGGCTTGGTAGCAATCATAATGGGTTGTTAGTGTAGACCACAAAAAAAGTTATTATTTTCCAGTTAATTCCAATATGTCAGTTGGTCGTTAATGATGACTGTATATTGTGGTTGACATAAGTTTGTCATGGATACAAGATACCAAGTGGAGGAAAATAATCTATTTGTTTGCCGATTGATCAACTATTTCCCAATCTACGATACGGTAATATAGAATAAAATGTTTATACAGACCATTTTTCTTTCAATATGAAACCAATAATTGCTTTTGTTTTTTAATTAAACTTTATTCATCAAAATAAAAGTAGGTGACAGAATGTTACAAGGACCGGTTTGTTACTAAAGTTTTCTATTCTTTTCTGCTTCTGCACAAAAATTGATTCACTGTTACATATTTAGCCCTATATATGTGTGTGTGTTGTAGATACACGCTTGTAATGTTGCATGAATCAATCATATTCCTTTTGTGGAGTCGGGCAAAACAAATTTCACCAAAACGTTTTATCTATTGAAGTTGTTGATTTATTAGCTGCTCAACCATTTGCCGAAAGGGGGAAAAGTTTTGTCTCACAAGGAAAAAGAAGAAGATAGAAAAACGCAGAAACTGATTGGAATTGAACAGATGAGTATGCCTTGAGAAGCGCGTCACTGTTTAACCTCAGCGCAGTGGTGGTGACGAGACAAATAGCCCACTATGGAATCGTTAGCGTTTGAGTTGAGACCGAAATGGTAAATATAAAAAAAAAGTTTTTATAAGGTAAAAGTTTAGGAGGGAAGAGGGTGAAGAAGGTTTCTTTCGTTTACATTGTTTTCTCTGTACTGATGATGAGTGATATAAAGTAGCGTCTCTTTCTCTTTCTATTATATGTTTTTTTTTGTTTCGTGCTACATAGAAAGATTGTTTAAAGCGGTTTGTTGTTTTTAATAATGAGACAATCCTTCGGATTTTAGCAGTTCATTACGTTAGTGGTTTGTCCAGGGGTTTCCTTTAATTACTCTTTTAGTCTGCCTTTTAAGTAAGCTAAATTTTCTTTGTCTTCATTTTCTTTATATATAGGATGATCGTTTAACAGAAAAGTCATATCGCTAGAGTTGTGTACATTCATGTATACGCACTACTCATTGTGTACACAGTGTTGTTTTCTTCTTCTCAATTTCCATTGTAAGTATTCACATTTAAACACGGTTACGGGTTTTGTTTTCTTTTCACAAACTTAAGCATAATTTTTATTTTCTTTAAATTTATTACTCCCACTTGCTCTGCGCCGTTCTTTTCTTCTTACGTTTAATATATATATATATAATTTAATTTACCACTCTTGCTGTCACTGATTTTTAGTTAAGTTCATTTTTTTTATTCTCTATACGTATAGCTACATTTTTGCTGTGTCTTTCCGGTCCGGTCCAGTGCTGTTCGGGCAGGAGAATCTGAGTGTGCAAATTTTCTGCTTATCTCGCATCTTGCCTGTTTGTCACGACTATAAGTGGGTTGGGAATGTGAGTTCATATGTCTATGCGGTGTGTGGTGTAGTGGTAGGGTTGACGCGAACAGTCGGTGTCAAAAGGAAGTTTTTATTGACTAGTGGAATTTGGAAACAAGGTCGAGGAATTTAATTTCCTTGCAAACTTGGATTGCAGTTGAAGGAAGTTAAATGGTTGACCATTTGGGGTAGAGGCACAGAACTTTTGGGAAAATATGTGTTATAAGTTCACAAAAGAATTCTATCAAACATTCGAAAGTGTTCGTATATCAAACCATCAAATCCGACTTCTGATGAAGACATTTTTATATTGAGCTGCATTGCACAACATGTAAAAGGGAGGGAGGGAGACACAGATAGCACACACGAAATTAATTTAATTGTTTGTTCTTCTTGACAAGGAATTAAATCATAAAAGGCGTAGCCAAATTGATTGTTCTGCTTTAAGCATGTAGTTACTGTTTGACGTTGCTCAGTGCGCAGTGAGAAAATGTACCTTTCTGTTTTGCATTTTATTATGCCACCAACATTTTTGACAAAAACCTTGATTAATGGTATCTTTCAATATGCATCAAAGTATATACATGATATAGTCAATGAATAAATCTTAAAAACGGTGTTCCATTGAGAGAGATAGCTAAAAATGGCAATTTGTCATACATTACTTTGCGCAAACTGCTTGACTCGCCATCCACCTACTGTTTACCAACGACATTTACAAATTGTAACAGAAAGTAACAATTGCCCCCATAGTAGCATAGATGTTAATATTAAATCAATGAAGATTGAAAAATTGCAATTGTGACCCTTCTCAATAATGTATCAGTAATAGGTATGGTAGGCGGGATTTACATGGAGTAATTCTATAGCTGATACCATTGCATATATGAGATAGCACCATAACTGATACACTTACCCTATTCTAAATTTCATCAACATACACCAAATCGGAACATTTGCCAACCAACCAATTTCATTGTTTGAATCTGCCCGTATTATAAAGATGTACCACGAAAATTACTCAGACTCTCCTTTAGACCACCATAATAAACTAATGAATTTTGCGTTCTCTTCTCGATGAGTTTTGCTGTTCTTCTATCAACATTTCCTCTCTGTCAACAAGTCACTCAATTTCTTTAACTACAGGTTCTGGTTTACTCCATTCTGTTCCTTCCTGCTGTTCGGCCTAACTGTAAACGTGTGGATGTTGGGGTGCTACTCCTGATTTACCTCTTCAATATCAAATTAATATACTGTCTATAAATATATTCTAAGTCCAGAGCTTTTATTCTCCAATTTAGCATCTGCTTTTCCAATACTTGTTAGCTTGGTTTGGATTTTGTTTTATTTAATATGCTGTTTTGTTTATGCCGTACATTGCTCGTTTGCTCGAAAAACCATATGTTAGTATTGATGTACCTACTGCTGCCGGCTGTGTATTAAATATATTATTAAATTCCAATTTGTTTTAATATACAATTTCCCCTTCTGTAAGACAGTTCACTTAAGCGCTAGTTCCCTATTACTAGAAAGTGTGAAAATTAATAACACAGAAAATAAAATTTGTTTTTCTTTATGATTTTTACCAAACAATGAGCAATTGATTAATTGAAAAAAGAAAACGAAGCAACACAAAAGAAATCTGTTCATCATATGTAGGAAAAATTACAACTAATGTATAATAAAGAAAGAAATCTTGTCCGCTGCAAAGTTCTCTCTGATCGCTAAAATATTCGTTTACAATTAATGAAACAATAGCTATTACTCGTTTATCTCATCGTACCTGTATCACAAAATTATTTTGATTTTACCGTTTATTTTTTCGACTATATTCTCTTTCGCAACTGTGTAAAAGCAATTAAAACTAAAACCTAAAATCAATTTGCACAGCTTTCAAAGTGTCGGAAGGTTTCCTTCTTGAACTTGAAATTTGCCGTTCTATCTCCGTTTGTTCAAAACGTTTGAAAAGTTTCATTCTTTGCCGGCATAGGACATGGGAAGGGGTATTTGGGGAGGAGCGGGAACGCAGTAGGGACGTGCGTGTGTGCGCCTGTGTATGTGTACGTTTGCGTGAATGCATCGCTGAGATATAAACGGATGAATGTTTGCAGGACATCTCAATAATTGCAGTGTTGCTGTTTTTTTTCCACGAATCAATCAATTTGGACGGTTTCAAGTCGGTTTAGATCTGTTCTGCATACCACGTCTACTTTTTTCTTGTCTGTGTTTGTGTGCAAGGTGTTTGCGAAGATGTGCTGAGCGATACATAGGTGGCAAGAGAAGTTCCTAAATTACTGCAATTTTATTGCACATTTCGTAGGAACGGTTACGGGAACTAAAAATGCTTTTATTTTTTTTATGTCAATGGACACTCATACATTCAAAATAACTCTGGCTGGTTTGGTAGAGATGTCAATTAACAGTATCGGACAAAACCTTTGAAAGCTAACTCTGAATGTAGATAATTCTTCAGTGTGATACTTTATTACAATTATAGTCTTTTGTGCCGGTAAAAAATAGATTTGAAATATAGGGTAGGTATCCCAGCTATGGCACTATCCCATATACGAAATGGTACCAGTCATGGCACTAGTTTATTTAAACTCCATAGGCCATAACTGGTACATTTTTTGGCCATAGGCCATAACTGGTACCATAATTTTTTAATTATGGTTGTATGGTAGATTTTTGGTAAAGATGTCGCCAGTAAAAAAAAGTAAGGTGATTTATTTTGTATACAGAAAACCGAAAAGTTATGATTCTTACAAAATTAGAACCTTTTTAGAAACAAATATTTTGTATAAGTGGTAGATTTTAATTCAACGGATCAAGCCTACCAAATATTTTTTGTCAGTAGTGAGAGGATTAAAACTGACTGCTTACATTAATCCATTGAAAACTTTCATAGCAGTCAAGTATCGAAACTTGACAACTGACAACCTCGCCGATGGAAACTAACAACACCATCGCCACGCCAGGAAAGTGAAATTTTACTCTACCTACCTGACGGTGGTGTTAGTTTGCGATTTCAAAGGTACAAACGTCAAGTTGTCCATATGATCTAGATTTGGTTGTTTTCATTTCCAAACTATTAGCTACCTCATACCTGTAAAATGCATTACATTTTACAAACGAGTTTAAATTTCAAAAGTCGTGCACTGTCACTAGTTAGAAGTTTGCTAATCTTTGATACAAATAATTTGTTACTACTACTGATAATAATGTTTTAAGTGAAAACTCCGCGAAATTTTTTAATGTTTGATCAACCTAATTAAAAAAATAAGATGATATTAATTAATCATCTCTTTCAAATTTACAATCGTTGACTTCACGCTTGCTGTAGTAAAAATGAGCGTGAAAATGGCAAATTTGTTTTAGTAAGATTTTCAAGACTTGTGAGACCTATTCACTCAATTTAGGAAAGACTCTGCACAGCATGCTCAGTGTGGTTCCTGTAATACAGAGCTAACAGAAGTCTCATTGCATTGGGAAAGGCTGTGTCTATTGAGATAAGAAAAGTTACTCTGTCAGTGCTGGATTACCTCTGTTCAAAGACCGCGATGTCCATTGATGATATAATTCATAACCTAGAGGGGTTGTTATGGATACTACGCTTATCTTCAATACTCACTACTCTACGATCTGGGAGAGAAGCAGACAGCAATCATGGAATTTATTTTATAGCTTGTTCTTCTTGTCGTGAAAATTTGTGCCATTGAAATCAAATCGAAATAGGCTAGTTAAATAGCCTGTTTTGCTGTGAGCGTGTAGTGATTGTTTGAGATTGTCCAGTGAACAGTGAAAAAAATTACTTTTCTGTTCTGTATTTATTATGTCACTAAATATTATGACAAAAAACTGGATTAATGATATCTTTCAATATTGATTTGTGTATATTCAATGAATGAATTAAAAAAACGACGTCCCATTGAATAAGATAGCTGGAACCGACAATTTGTCATAAATTACTTTACGCATGGTTTCAATACCGCCTTGTGTATTTTTGTTCAACTGTACGAAACGCATCATTAAATTGCTTGGCTCCCAATGACTGTTCGTGACAGCTTAATTCTGGCTCTTTTTGACGTTCATATTTTCCGAGTCTGCTTCTCCCATTCAATCTGCGATGATCTCTGAGCTGGGTAAATCAAAAACTGTTGCACGGAAAAGTCATTTCAATCGTCATACATAATGTGGCCCTTGATTTATCCTTTCAAATCAATAGAACCGTTCAAAACCGTTTAAAAACCGTTTTATAACGTTCCAAACTTCTCAGATGAGTGTGACTTGTGTCGGCAACCTGTTTTTATTTGGCAATCTTTCCATTTGAGCCGTATGTTAAGAAGCTGTTTGCAACTGATCAGAAGCATTTTATAAGGTGTAAGAAGAAAACGTGCCTTAACTCGTAAACATTCATGTAACACTAAGAAATCGTTGAAATACATTCAGCAAATTCCTGTCAATCACATATAGATGTACCGTAGCTCACATGAATTTGACATTTATGGACAATCTGACACTTTTGGGCAAGCTGACAGTGGTAGAACTGAAAATAGCTTACTCTTTCATACTTGCATCGCAGTGCTGAATGCTAGAAAGAGTACACTGAAAGAAAACATCCGCAATACTTCGAATGATTATTGCATTGCTCAAGCCCTTTAACAATATGCTTTCGAATTTCGGATGATTGCCTCATGGGTGAATTCGTCATTAGCTGATCAGAATCCATATGACTGTCATCCAAATAAAAGATGATGTTTATTTGAGCATTGGCTGTAACACAAACAGCGCTCAGAGGACAACAATTCAAGAATAGGATGACTTGCAAATACTTTAAACTAGATTTATATCTCGACTGTTTACATTCCACATTGAACAGCCATGTACAGCCATTCCATGATGGATACAAAATCGTGTGTTGGTAGAGGGAAATCCCTCCACCACGAAATAGACACTCTTCGGATTCCATGCGCTACCAATGCTCGTACCACGTATGATAGCGATGACTATGTTTCCACCTCGTTTATCATCTCAGATCAGCAAATGACGTTTGATAATATTATTAACATCATCGTTTTAGATGATTTGTGTTATGAGGCTGAACCAATACCACAAGATGCATATTCCGGAGACGAACCAGCCCAGGGCTGAAAGTCTCCTCAATACAGATACCAGTGCGCAAAACAGTCAGGTTCATTGAGTCATTTTGATATGAATATGAACTGCCATCTGCCTCATCATTCACTGCCTCGTGAGAGTCTGAATGATTGAAAGGTAAACGAGTCACTAACAGCCGAGCACCCAGTCAGTAGCTCAGTCAACACGTTTATTTTGCCGTGATGGTACCCAATATTTGTTTTGAATGACTGAGCGTACATTTCCTATGGAAAAATGACTCAATTACATGCTGTGTGAGCGAAGGCAAGCGGTGTGCGTCGCCTGCTCGTGAGTGACTGAATGGTTTTGTTGGCTCTTTCATTGCCTCGTCCTTTACCGTTTGGTACAAACGCTCTGCACAGAGCAATGAATTGAATAGTGCAGTGCTTTCACACTCAGTCTAGGCAGTCAATAATTTTACGCTCTGTCAGATACAAAAAAAAACAAGCTGCATTTCAATTTGGGATGACAATAATTCTACAGAGAGCATTAGGTATTTCAACTGAGGTCCTTTCGCTTCTCGTATCAGTCTTCATCCTGTATTCGAGAGGAGCATCATCTCATTACAAACCAACCGTCATCCAGTTGCAGCTATCATTCGAAAAAGCGATTTCGTTGTTTCGAATTGAATGGTCTGAGGTTTCATTCGAACAGAGGATGATGTTTTGGTACAGTGTAGTATATTGCAGTCATCCTAATAATAATAATTATAATAAAATCCCACACGTATCAATATATTGACGCGAAGGGGAATTATTGACAATAATGTAGGGCCCACTTAACCTCTGTATTAATCATGTTGAAATGAGCTACGATGAAATGCTTAATTGTTGTCCCCGTGACATTCAGCGAAGTGTTTTGGTGAGTTTTAATATTGGTTGCCGACTTTTCATCAGAAAGTTATTTTCCAAATACTCTCAAAGAAATCTTCTGAATTTCGTTCAACAATTCTCTACGAATTTGTAACAACTATCACAGGAATTAATTGAAATTGCCCTCTAAAATGGTTTGAAAATTTCCATGTTGCGTTATGGTTGCGGCTTCTTAGTCCAATTAAAGTGAATTAAAACAACTTTATGGTCTCTTCACCCGACCTTTCTGTTCTTAAAGGATCTTTCTCAAGGACGAAAAAACAATAAAACGTCGGGTTAAAACATAAAGTTGTTTTAATTCACTTTAATTAGACAAAAACGTAACTCAAAATACCCTGTAGCAGTTGGAACAAAGCGAAACATTTTCATGGAGAATTATCCAAAATTTCCTTTGGTATACCATTCAGAATTATCTTGGAGCTCTGCTGAGACTTATTTTGGAGTTCTCATCAGAACTCTCCCGTAAACTCCCATGAAATACTTTTTTTTTAATTATTCTTCAAATTGTGAATTGGGTCTCTCATTGGAGTTTCCTGGAAAATATACTTAGAATTTCATGAAGAAATCTCTTAAAGCACTCACCAGAACTTCTTTCAAACTAAGAGACAGGAAAACTAAGAATTCTAATCCCTCGGCACTCGACGCGGAATGCCCTTTGAACTCTCTTAAGAATATCCTTAAATACGGCCAGGTGGAGTTTCTCAAGAACTTCCATTTAAAAATTACGCATTGTTGAGAAAAATTAACTCAGGTTCTGTCATTTTAAGTTATTTCTAAGCATTTCAATTTTAACTAAAATACTATTTTCAGAATTTTGTATTTTAATCTGTATAATGATTCCACAACGGAAATGAAAACGTACTTGCAACTATTCTGTCCGATACTGTAATGATTTTTTCACAACTTACTGGATGTAAATCAGCGTTTCTCTACCATTGAAGCTATAATACCGATAACGAACCATCATTCTTCTATGAACCACCTGAACGGCAAACAATTGAGAATATAATCTACTCCGAATATTATACATTTCACAGCTAGGTGCAGATTGGTTCGTGTGGGTGGTTGATTCTATATGTATACACGAACCGAGAGTATCTTTTTTTTCGATTACATTAAGTACTTATAAGTATGACCATGCAAAACAAAATCCCCAATCAATCACACTTTGAAATCTTGTACTATGTTGAAACATAAATTTCCACCGAGTTTGCTTTTTCACACAGGATAAAATATATGTGTCCACTGAATACTGCAGCATGAATTGTTACAACCCATTGATTAATTTAACAGTGAACCATTTTCGATTTTGGCAAACAATACATCCGATTATGATTTATGTCGTCGGGAAATTTAACGGTGCGGACATAAACATTTGTTTTGGCAGTCCGTGTTGGATTGAAAGGCCGATAATGTTGATTTCCTGTACAGGTGAACTGAAGTAGCGGTAGTCAATGTTACAGGAACTCACGTTTGATCTCACACTGTCAGACAAGAGATGATTCGCGCGGGTTATCAAAACTCGTTCAAAATGCGAATCAATTCAGAGCACAAAACCAACAAACAAACAATCACTAACATCATCATCACCATCATCATCATCACTTTGCCATAGTCATTATTGAAAGATCTCAGGTTTGAACAGAAGTACTTAGGTACCTACATATAATCACGTTTATACTTGCTGCTATGACGAGCACACTGTGGCCAACGCTTCGGATTATATTTAGTTCGATTATTATTAAATGTTATTCGCAATAATAGAACGATGATGATGATACTCGGTATCGATTCTTCTTGAATGCCCCGTAAAACCCATGGGAAGGCAAAGAGCGAACATCACTGTTACCTGTCTTGGCGCCAATGAGTGTTGACTTCGGATGAAAGTCTGGTTGAAATGATTTAAGAATGCTTTAATCTGTACGATACTCCTCAATTATAGAGTAAAGTGTCATCAACGAAAATCCGCCCCCTTTAATCTACGTGATTTTAAATCCGACTCTCGATGCACTGACAAATCCACAGATATGATATTGTATCAGTATTTTTTTTTTATTAATTAAATCAATATTTTATACATCGGCATTTATTGCCGTTATTGACCAGAACACACATTTTTTGCTGTGTAGTAGGCCATGTATCAACAATATGCAACGAAATTGATTTGTTTATGTTTTCATTTCGTAGAGTTTGACTACGTTTAAAAGTTCGTTTGACTACGATTTCTGATTGATGAGGGGGGACTGCATTATTAAGTAGTAAAACACTTGATTCAAAAACCTCAGAAAAACCCAATGAAATACTGTGATAAAGTCAATGTTTTTCAATACAAACTTTTCAAGCGTCAAGTTAACCACAATCAAATCGCTTAGTTTATTTTCCTAGATATTTACTCATATTTGGCCTTAAATATGAACGGATATAGGCTGTTAGTGCTGTTCTCACGTGACGACCACTTATTTCAATATCCTAGAGTAAATAATTTCGGACATGATTCCTACGTACGTAGGTCACTGTATCGAACTACAATTTAAATTATGCAAACCTGCTTGCATAAAATTTGAATATGTCGAAACCAGTAACAGTGTCAATTACATTTGCTGGCTGCTGTCCACCAGTAGGTCCAGCCTTGCCAGCTGTTTACGACACTAAAATACACTCATCACTTAGGCGATTTAAAAAAAATCTACTTTATCCTGATTCGAATTTTTGCACACATTACATGTCTTATTTAATTATGAAAATGTTCACAATTGTGAAGAAGTCATCCGTTTTAAATGTCCTGTCTTGTCAGTATAATCAATCGTAGTTGCAACAGACTGGCTTTCCAATGTATGTAATTTCAGTCACTGCATGCCAGCAATGTCTACTCCTTTCCACCCGTTGTGCCCCTTTTAGTCGACTTATGAAAAAATATACATACAACTGCACGTTACCATGATAGATTTCTGAGTGAATGTCCTTCCTCATGTCTTTTGTTACTTATGTGCAGGACAAACATAACAAAAAAAAAAGAATCATATTGAAATGAACAATGCTTTTCCGTCTTTTTCCCGCACATGTTTGCTTCCCTCATTGCTGATGGGTCTGCCGGTTCAGTTATCATCATCACTATTGTTTGCTCGTTAATAATGCATAGATTGGCTGCAGCTGCTTTCCTCTGTTGCTCCTGTCTCCCCACCAAACATGGATGGGATTGGTTATCCTGTTTTTCCAGTTACTACTACTTCGCTCACTTTTGCTACTGATGCTGTTTTCTGCGGCCGCCGTTGTTGTTGTTGTTGTTTTTTTTGTTATTATCCTACGTGTTCGTGTTTGCGTGTGTTTGCTGTAGTTTTGGAGTGTGAGTGTTGTACAAGTTGGAAAGTGGATGGCAATTTTGCTTGTTTCAATTTGTTTGTTTTATTAATTTTAAAATATGCAATAAATTTTCCATAATTTAAAATTTCTGATATATTCATTTAGCTGGAACGAGACAAGCAAAGAGAAGAATTAAAAAAATGTGAGTTATGAGATATGCCAGTGCAAGTGAGTGTAAATAATTTCATTAGTTTCAATTTTGTGCAATTAGGCAGGCATAAAACGGCTCTGATTTAATGATGCTTTATGGAATACATCAATATATGCAGTTTGGTTAGCATGGTAATTAGATTTGTTGGTATATGAATAAACAATGTTGCTTGATTTACCTTTAAAATGACGCACAATAAGTTGCATGAATATCAGACTCATCGAGATAGATGGATAAGGCGCGCTTTTTGGGATGTTATCATTTAAATGACATGCAAATTAATAAATCGATGTCTGCGTAAATACATTTCTAAGCATGTAGATTCTACTGATGCAAAATTTGAAATTTTCGCTTCACAGTGCTTTGACAATTTCAAAGCAGGTTCTGATTAACCTCTTAAAATGTGAATCGTTTGATTAAAAATTGATTGTGTAGAAACCATTTGATGTTGTATTGACATTACTAGCATAGCATAGCATAGCATAAACCAGGTTGCACAATGTCGTAGGTGGTACGAGCTCCAAACTGTTGCTGAGAAGGAGACCCACCGTCATCCGTTACTGTTAGATAGTAATTTGTAATCAATTACTACCTCTTAGAAAAGGATGTGTCTCCCACCAACAGGCCAGAGCTGTCCTGGCCACATCCTTGCATCTGGTAGGGAAAGGGGAGGAATGTTAGTCCGACACTTACTTAAGAGAGATGCAGAGAACTCTACGACCCGGGAAGGGTGGATTTTTGTTAATAGGGAGGGTAAGCCATAGGATACGCCCAGGCGGCGTTGCTGGCAATCGTTATATAAAGAATTTAATAAATAGAAGTAGTTTATCTGTCCGTTGATGCTGCCCATTACCTAAACATATTATTCAAAAGAGTCTTCAGATTTTGGAATTAAGAAACGTTATCAGCTCGATCCTGTTGCTCCTTTGCGCCTGAAAATGTTTGTTGATCCTAAACATATGCACAATTCATTCTGTGTTAAAGGTTATTAATAGTAGATTAGAATGAAGATTCGCCCTTGGCCTAACTCCCACTGCCTTGGCAGTGGTATTATGGATAAAATCTGCCTGCAATCATTTCTTATGAATGCAAAGAAGCTTGAACCCGGGAGTTAGAAGGTGACAGCTCTACCGCAGCTATATACAATAGCACATTTCAAGAACTCAAGCATTCCGAAGCTATTTTCATACATGATAAGCCCCGCTCCAATACATTATCGATGCAAATATACACCATTGATAATGTACTGAAACTTTCAATCAAGCAGTAATACTTGATTGACACGTAGGGGAATTTACGTATTCTCGTCAATCTAAGCAGCGTCTGCACTTCTACTAGCATTTTCTCAGCGTCACGCACATATATGATGTGTCTGTTTGTTTACATTCATCTGCTGCTTGCTTCTCTATCCATTCCAATCGACAGAATTTTTCAAAACGTTTTGAAAGCGTTTTTACAACGCTCCAAACTTCTCAGGTGAGTGTGACTATTGTCGGCAGTCTCTTTTTCTTCGGCAACCTTCCCATTAGAACTGCGTGTTAACCAGCTGTTCTATTATCGGCAACTCGAAATCAACCTCATTTTGTAGTGCGTATGCTTTATTTGAAGAAAAATGTAGCATTACTGGATTGCTCGATCGTTCAAATATAATCAGATTGAAGCTGAAAGGCTAAACCATCGTTTGGACACATTCAGGGAAGTGCGTTGATGGGAAAACATAGTGAAATTAACGTTTAAATTTTGGTTGCCGAAAACAGTCAATGGGTGCCGAAGCCAACATTTACCCTATTTAGTAAGTTTTGAAATAATCGTCTTGAATTAGATGGATATTTCCTATCGAGGACAGAGGAACGAAAAGGTAAATAAACTTAGCTGAGCGTAGGTTAGATCAGTCGGCACCACATGCAACGGATAGGAATTTGAAAATTTTCACTTAATACACTTTTCAACATCACTTCTGTACTTTCAAATTAACACTTTTAAAAAATGAAATTGAAAAATTATTACATTTTCACTAGAACGAAAACGACGCAGCAAAACAAAAACACGTCATTTTCGCAGCGCGGCCTACTTCGATCCCCATTTGATGTTGTATTGACATTACTGCTCAAATATGATCAAAATCGACGAAAATCGTTTAAGTGAAACCTCTCTAGATTTTCCTCATATTCGAAAAGTTTTTGCTGGAAAATCGAGAAAAAAAATAATTCTCTGAGGAACCTAGGTTTTTGCGAATTTGATTGAACGAAACTCAAATTTAAGTTTGTTTAGGCTCTGAACCATTTGGTGGATTATTTTAACTTTTGGTTAAAATTTGACAGATGAAAAGTTATCGATTAACCCTGCTATCCGAGCGTGGTTACTTCTGACAGACAAGAAGTTAAATTTTGACGACCGTGGCTCGGAAACCGGTCGATCGACAGCACGGGGATTTTCGAACATAAGAAATAACTTTCCAAATGTCACTTTTAACCACGAGTTAAATTTAACTCGGCAAATGGTTCACAGCCTTAATCGGCCTTGTGTCTTGAAGCCACACGGCGAATGAGAACGACTCAAATTTGAGTTTAGTTCACTCATAATCGCCAAAAGTGCAGGAACTCAGCGATGAGTTAATTTGCCTCATGTTTTCCCAGGTTTTTCCAGGATTTTCCAGGGAAAAATTCCCGAATTTGAGAAAAGTAAAGATTGGATTCACTCAGTCTATTGGTACTACTCCGAGACTGAATAAAATTTTCGTCAATTTCCTCATTTTCCGGCAGATTTTTTAGGCTTTCCACAGGAAACCATGGGACAAATTTTACTCATCGCTGAGTTCCTGCACTTTTGGCGATTATGAGTGAACTAAACTCAAATTTGGGTTGTTCTCATTCGCCGTGCACCATCAGTTATATTGGTGGCGTTATTGTCGACATGAGTTTACGCTACGTTCATCCGTTATCATCAGCATTGTTTATCGATGGATTCCACACAACCGAATTTGATCAATCTTAAACACGATCAATGATTCTTGTAGCCTCGGTGAATAAAATGCGCCCAATTCTTTCAATTTCACTAAATGATAAACAATTAGCATACAGCGAGGTAATCCCTGGGGGCAAGACAGTTTTTGATCATGAGTAATGTTTGAGTTCATTTTGAATAACTCTAGTTGCTTAATATGCAATGCAAGGCAACACAGCAGGCGTTTTTGTGTTAATTCACCTAGAGTAAAACAAAGACGTTCAACGGTGATAAAAATATTTAAATTCCGCTGCTTTCTGAATCACCGTCCTTTAGTCCCATGACCATCATACTTCTTCTGCCAATCCTTTGTAGACCTTTTTCAACCGAATCTGATGCAACCTGTAATCGGTGGAAGCTGACCATAGCATTTACAGATTCAATCTATGAGTCAAACTAACAGTCTTCTGTGGTATTTGCTGAAGGACATCTGTACTTTTGTACAGGTAATGACGAAGGCTAGCAAACATCAAATCGGAAGTGCACTCGTATAACGACGAAGGTAACCAATGCTAGATAGAGCCACGCCTAATTCCAGGGCGTAACAGCTTTGGTAAACAATGACTTCTACGAAACCGGGGTACTGTTGATTTGCGTGTGCAAGCCTTGACTTTCTAGAAATCATCGAGAGAAGTCATTGTTTATAAAAGCTTTTATGTCCTAATTTTAGCTCTATCTACAATGAAACGTTCGATCAATAAAAAAAACATAGTACTCACTGGAAACTAAACAGTAAGCTGTGTATGGGTAGTGAAGTGAAAACGTCAACAGGCTTGCTGAAACTTCTCAAATTCACTGGAGGTTTTAAAACACTCTTGTTCTGCGAGTTTAGCCAGCCCTCACCTCAAGTGAGTGGCGGCAGGAATATGGAAGAAATACACAAAAACTCCTCGAGAGAGAGAGAGGGAGAGTGAACTTCAGCGAGAGGATGATTTGACGTGAGGTGCGCTTTTCGAGACTCCGGATGACTTTTTTGTTCGACGCAAGAAGCTCAAAGTTCACCCACAGTGAAAGTAAGAGCGTGTGATAGAAAACATGAACACGAATGGCAGCAAACATCACTCTCATTTTATCCCCCTTCGCTCACAAGCTCTGAAGCTCAGTGGAATGATTTGGCAGTAGGCATTCTACTCCTCAGAAAAATACTACGCTCGGCTCATTTCAAACTCGCGAGCGAGGCTCCATCAAGCCTGGGGTTAAGGCACTCAGCACATTATGCCGCATTTAGATTCGGTACAGCTTGGGCACATCTATCGGCACACCTTCGGCACAATCTCGTAGGCATTTGATTGTTGTAAATAAAATGGGGGCACTGCTGGCCACTGAAGTTGTTCACAACATTACGTGCTGTTTAGCTGTATATTCAGGAACATTCTCTAATTAAATATACCAGAGGAACTCAGAACAGTAGTTCACTTCTCGGTTCACTTATGTGTAGATTTAAATCCGAAATGCCGCTAGACCGATTTATCCTTGCGATTTCGAACCAAAAGATTTAAGGTGTCAGAAATACCGGGTTGCCGGGATGAGTATTTTACAAATAATCGCAGCTTGCTCTATGACCAGCACAATCGGCACACCTGCGACACACTTGCGACACACTGAAAAAAGATGACCCAACGTAGAATATACTAATGGAAAAATGGTACAGGCATCGAAAGCTCTCAATTAATTACTAAGGAAGTGCACCTAGAACACTAAGTTTAGAGCAGCCAATAAGCTAATATGCAGTAAGCAATAAGTTTGAAATGCGAATAAGAAGAAGAAGAAGAAGAAGAAGAAGAAGAAACATAAAAAAGATGGCCTCTCGTGGCCATCATAAAAAAAAACATGCTAGTGATCTGGGTACTGCGGACTCACTCAATGTGCTTGTCACTTGGGAGCCAGTCAGAACTGTCAAACGAGAGCCAAACATTCAGAAGCAACAAACTCAGTTACTATTCTTACCTCT